TCCTGATCGATCCAATATCAACAGGAACCCAGAGTTGAACGTAATAAGGAGATAGCTGTGGGCTACAGCGACAGTTTTACCTGGTGCTAACGAGTGTCTGGATGGGTGGACAGTGACAGGTATGGTGTACATACAAGAGTGTGTCTACACTGTGTATCGGGTAAGATCACACATCGTGATTTTCTCTGTTGTATCATTTGTGTAAATCATGCGTTATAAGCTACAGATTCATATCTCATGTACCTTTTGGGATTCAATGAAACCTGTTTTTACTGACACCTTAATTTAAGGACAACCTATAATTCAGTGAAACTTGACTTTACTGACACCTGAATTTAAGGACATCTTAAGTGAAATACAGTGACTCTATACTGACAGTCCTCACAATACTATGAAATCTGACTTTTGTTACACTTGACTTTAAGGACATCTTGTAATACATTGTATACAGTAAAACCTGACTTTCCCAATACCTGTCTTTAATAAATACAATAAAACTTGACTTTATTTATAACTGCCTACTGCCAGTTAAGATGTGCTTCAATATAGTATTTTGTGGGATTGTTAGATTTGTCGTTCAAAGGCTGATAGCTTAATTAGTCATTAACCAAAAGTTTTGATATGATTTAAATGTATTTACGAAATATGTTGCAAACTTTGAAATGGTTTTGTATTTATCTTGATATAAGTATCTAAAAACCTGATACATGTTATTTTAATATCGTAATCTTAATTATTCATTAACTGAAAATTTGATATGAGTTACATGTATTTCCGAAATAAGTTTTCAAATGATTCTGTATTCTAAATATAAGTATCTGAAAAACCCGATGCATGTAATTTTGATGTCTTAATCTTAATTTGTTGCCTCATGAAAATTGACATATTCAGACATATTTTCAAATTGTACTTTAAATATTTCAAAATAAGCAAATGTATTTATATGTATGTGAAGTTTCTCATTCTTTCTCTTTTTTTACAACGGGTTTCATTTTGAATTTGAGAACATAACACTGTTATATGATTAAGTAATACAATTCTGTGTCATATTCCTAAAGTTAAAATAAGGTTCATACTACAGTTTCCATTGTCTGGACAAGGAAAAAATCATCTTTGTTATTATCTTTTTAAAATATGTTCTTCCTTGTTAAAATATGTGTTTCATTTTTGTCATAAAACATTTTTGAGTTTTTGGTCGTAACATTTTGGAAGTCCTCTACATGAAATTTGGGTCATATACCCGTAATATTGTTTCTGTCTGTCCATCTTGCTGTCTGTTCATCCGTCCTTGGTACTGTGCGGTCATCTCTTTAATTAGTGTCACAATATTTGTTGTCAAATTGCCATGTTCATATCCATTCTTTTTCCATTTTATCCATTTAATGTGCCATATCATTCATCAAGTAAAAGCTATCAGGGTATATGTATATCTACCTATGAGGCATTACTTACTCAAGGGAGATAACTTGTCATTGGTAAGATTTTACCTGTCAAGGTCTAGGAGACTAGAAAACACCTCCGAGTGTTTTTCATGTGATGAATGCATCGACACTTGTCACATGACCAGTCGACAGTCACATGACAAAATGTCCCAGTAGGTTGCTAGGAGCTTATAAGTTGTAGGGACTTGGTGCTGGACATCAGTGACCTGTCATGTTCTCGTTTGTATAGTGTTAGCATTCCTTGTCCCTATGTATCAACACCTTACCAATCTATAACTTATAATGTTAGAACTTAGGAGTTGTTTTAAATGTTTCTATTTGTATCAACACCCTACCAATCTATAACTTATAATGTTAGAACTTAGAAGTTGTTTTATATGTTTCTATCTGTATCAACACCTTACCAATCTATAACTTATAATGTTAGAACTTAGGAGATGTTTTAAATGTTTCTATCTGTATCAGCACCCTACCAATCTATAACTTATAATGTGAGAACTTAGGAGTTGTTTTAAATATTTCTATTTGTATCCTGGAGGATCTGGATAAGTTCCCTTCCTGTGCTTGTCTTTGAATTCAGCTTGTGTGTGATGAGAATGTTTATAAAGGGATGTTATATTTTGAAGGAGCCGTGTCTAGAATCGATAATGTGTCGGTACTGTAAATCTTAAGTTCTTTTCTGATCTGTTTCTGATGAAGAAATAACAGATTTATGTAGATTTTCAGTTTTCCCCATTATGTAAAAACTGTTTCAAAGAACATATACACATAGCCTCTGTTTATTACTTGAAGCTAACAACATAGGTAAACAAACACTGCTGTGATTAATTAACAAAGTGGTGAACAGGTACAAAACCCTGGAGGTGAGAACGTGATTTATACAGACTTCATTATCACAGCCACTATAAACAGTCTGGAGTCCAGTCATCTTGACAGTAAACAACAGACGGATGGACGTCAATCTTACTGGACATCACAAACAGACAGATGGACATCAATCTTACTGGACATCACAAACAGACAGATGGACATTGATCTTACTGGACATCACAAACAGACAGATGGACGTCAATCTTACTGGACATCACAAACAGACAGGTGGACATCAATCTTACTGGACATTACAAACAGACAGATGGACATCAATCTTACTGGACATTACACACAGACAGATGGACATCAATCTTACTGGACATTACAAACAGGCAGATGGACATCAATCTTACTGGACATTACAAACAGACAGATGGACATCAATCTTACTGGACATTACAAACAGACAGAGGGACATCAATCTTACTGCACATCACAAACAGACAGATGGGCATCAATCTTACTGGACGTCACAAACAGACAGGTGGACGTCAATCTTACTGGACATTACAAACAGGCAGATGGACATCAATCTTACTGGACATCACAAACAGACAGATGGATGTCAATCTTACTGGACATCACAAACAGACAGATGGACGTCAATCTTAGTGGACATTACAAACAGACAGATGGACACCAACCTTACTGGACATCACAAACAGACAGATGGACATCAATCTTATTGGACATCACAAACAGACAGATGGACATCAATCTTAGTGGACATCACAAACAGACAGATGGACGTACTGAATTATAGGATGTTAGCTGTCTGATGGTCCTCACCCTTGTGGTACTGAATTGTAGGATGTGAACTATCTGATGGTTCTTACCTTGTGGTACTGAATTGTAGGATGTAAGCTGTATGATGGTCCTTACCCTTGTGGTACTGAATTATAGGATGTAAGCTGTCTGATGGTTCTTAACCTTGTGGTACTGAATTATAGGATATAAACTGTCTGATTGTCCTTACCCTTGTGGTACTGAATTGTAGAATATAAACTGTCTGATGGTTCTTACCCTTGTGGTACTAAATTGTAGGATATAAACTGCTGACGGTTCTTACCTTGTGGTACTGAATTGTAGGATGTGAACTATCTGATGGTTCTTACCTTGTGGTACTGATTTGTAGGATATAAACTGTCTGATGGTTCTTTCCTTGTGGTACTGAATTGTAGGATATAAACTGTCTGATGGTCCTTAACTGTGTGGTACTGAATTGCAGGATATTAACTATCTGATGGTTCTTACCTTGTGGTACTGATTTATAGGATATAAACTGTCTGATCCTTCTTGCCTTGTGGTACTGAATTGTAGAATGTAAACTGTCTGATGGTCCTTAACCTTGTAGTACTGAATTATAGGATGTAAGCTGTCTGATTATTCTTTACCTTGTGGTACTGATTTGTAGGATATAAACTGTCTGATGGTTCTTACCTTGTGGTACTGAATTGTAGGATATATATGTCTGATGGTTCTTACCTTGTGGTACTGAATTGTAGGATATAAACTGTCTGATGGTCCTTAACCTTGTATGGAACTTGTATGGAAAACTCCTCCTTAACTAACAGCTGGATTTCATTGAAACTTTGCATGAATGATAAGTATCTTATGTAGTTGTGCACCGGCATTTTAATTTGGGATTTGGACCCTTTTTGATGGAGTTATGCCCCTTTTTGCGAAATACTTGTCCGCACAACTCCTCCTTAACTAACAGGTGGATTTCAGTGAAACTTTGCATGAATGATCGGTATATTAGTTAGCCTTCAGCTTACAGTTCTAGTTGAAAAGGATTTGTTTGTTTAATAAATCAGTCGCAGTGCCTCTGTGTCAGTGAAATACATTTCTGTATTCTGTGTTGTGTATCCTATTGGATAATTGAATAGAGAAACAAAGTGGCCTGCTTTGTTTACATTTAATGTGTGACAATGCTGATATAAGCTTCTGGCAAGAGTTAATAATAAATAAACACAAGTGTGTCGTGAGTTAATTTATCTGTGGTGTGTGTATTCTGGGCCGGAAGGGGACAGGTACATTTGATACAGTGATTATTTATGATGTGTGGTTAGTAGACCCAGAAGGGAACAGCTACTGTATAGTGTTTGGTAATACACAGACACCAACTCATCATCTCTGACAGGTTAATAGACGCACAATTAACCTGTGTGAAGTGGTAGGTACTGGAGCTAACTGTTCAGGACCTGTTAGACCAGGAAAGACAGGTATTACAGATACCTGCTCTTTGTTTCTGATGTAAGACAGGAGAAAGTCTGCCCTCACAAATTGGGTGACAAGTCAGGAGAGAGACCTGCTCTAACAGACTCAGATTGTAAGGAGAGAGATCTGCCCTCACAGGGAGAGATAGTCAGGAGAAGGATCTGCCCTCACAGACAGATATTTAGGAGAGAGAATTGCCCTCACAGAGATATTCAGGAGAGAGATCAACCATCAAAGACAGAGATATTCAGGAGAGATATCTGCCCTCACAGACAGAGATAGTCAGGAAGGATATATGCCCCCACAGACAGAGATAGTCAGGAGAGAGATCTGCCCTCACAGACAGATATTCAGGAGGGTGATCTGCCCTCACAGACAGATATTCAGGAGGGTGATCTGCCCTCACAGACAGATATTCAGGAGGGAGATCTGCCCTCACAGACAGATATTCAGGAGGGTGATCTGCCCTCACAGACAGATATTCAGGAGGGTGATCTGCCCTCACAGAGACAGTCAGGAGACAGACCTGCCCTCACAGCCTGGGAATATAAGTCAGGAGACAGACCTGCCATTGATGTTTATAAGAAACACCTATTTCTGACCAGGAGTCTACAACTCTTTCTTAATATACCAGTTTAAAAGGTTATAATTTATAGAGGAAACCGGTTTTCATCCTAGTAAAGTGCTAAAAGTAAGCCTTTTCTCAGAGAATACTCCATGGACGTATGGGCACGGACAAAAGCTCTTTGTACCTCTTTTTGAAGTCCACATGATGAAGCAAAATTCTTAGTACCTGTGTAGGTGAACGGCCACAGGGTTATTGGTTGTTTTGGTCAGATATTAATTCGGAGTGTTTATTTTCTGTGGGGTTTGGTGAGCTGGACATCCCTTGTGCTGTGTATATGTGGGATATAAGGATATATATTCAGGGACGTTTTTAAAGCCGAGGAATTTGATAACACAAGTTAAACTTACACTTTGCTAGTGTAGACTTGAGTATCAAGTAAGGATCAGGTGATACGGGTCTGTGTGGAGTGTGTATTGAGGTCAGGTATTCAGTTCTTACGTCATTTCTGAGGTGGCATTTTACTCCACCTGTGTATACCTGAAGTATGTCTGATCCTAATCCAGACTTAGAGGTGGCAGGTGAGGTAGTATCACCTGTACAGGTTAACGAGGACCAGGAAAACAAAACAAAGGTAATACAAATATTGATCATTTATATTTTGTAGTTTCTAGGTTGTCTGAGAGTGATTCTAAGGGTCGACCTGTCTCTTATTTGGTGAAACACTTTTACTTGAAATAAAAATCAATATTCTTAAGATATTTTGAAAATATGGATACTTTTCTAACAGTGGTAGTTCTGGATAAGGGTTTTATCTGTGAAATCAATTGATGTATCAAAATAAGTGTCTAAACATACATATAGATAATGACCAAAGGATGACCATTGGTCAGTCGGTCCTAGCTACAACTGTGTAAGTAATCTATTTTTATACATTATCCAGACTTTGTGAATTCAGAAACATGTGTTTTTGACACACGTCTCTAACAGGCCTGCTGTATCCCACGTACTGCACGCTATCATTAAGAATTTACCTGAGTATGTAACAATGAAAAAATAGGTAAAACTGTACATTCTGTGGGCCAAGTCCATGATTATGAAGACCAGAAAATGAATAATGGCAATTTCTGGAATTTCTGGAGTGAAATCAACGTTTATCCTTTAAGAATATGATAAAAAAAAACTTACTTCTTACTATTACCAGTAGGGTATGTATCATATATATACAAACTCCACAGAATGAGACATATATTGTCAAGTTAAATTTGTAAGCAAAATCTTTGGAGCGAATTATTTTATTTCATTATTATCACTTTCTGGTATGTGTACCTATCAAAATAAAAGAGCCTTGAATCTTTTGTAATCCATAGTGTATGTACTTAGGGTATTAACGTCTGTGTTCTGCTGGGATGTATTTAACCCAGTTCAGTATGTTGAAATTGAAGGGTGAGAGAGTGTACGGTTAGAGTAATTACACTAGTTTCCGCCTCAGTATGGAACATGGTATTTATGGTGCATTCGAGTGGGGTTTAATTATTGTCTAAATCTAAATCATGACCTATCAGACTTTCTGTTGGTGTAAACAGCCTTTGATCTAATTGATCACACAAGAACATATAAAACCTGATGGATATAGGTTAGTAAACCACAACGGCCGATGGATGACCATCCAGAGTCGAGCTATATATCATTCCTCACCCTCCAATCAGAGTTGTACAGTAAAAGTTTGAATTCTTGCGTGTGGAAATGTTCGCATTGTGAATCTTTGAACTGATTGTGATATGGAATATTTTACCTTGGGAATGGTTTAATAATCTGTGTATTCTATATTTATATAATCTATAAAGATATATTTGTGTGTAGATTTCTTGTTCATGCTAGTCTGCTCAGCGTGAAAATTGCAAGCATTTCCACGATGTAAAAAATTATCCACTTCTACCGTATATACAAATTTTATACACCTAGACTGCTCCACCCATCCAACTCTGATAGAATTACTCATCCTATGTGTAAATCGAAGGGTGAAATATTTACAAACAACCACAACATATTCAGACTTAAATGGTATGCAGGTACGCACCTTATTCTATAGAAAAGAAAATGAATTCTGATGAATGCAATCAAACTGGAACATCTAGTAACACCTTAGACTATATAAATACAGTTATTAACAGTTTCGCACCACAACACTTTATTGGGTGTGGTGACATCGTCAGTTTCACGCTATCTTTCCTGTGAAATAGATTCACTTGTAGATGTGGTGATATCGCCACTTTCACGCCATCTTTCCTGTGAAATAGATTCACTTGTAGATGTGGTGATATCTTCACTTTCACGCCATCTTTCCTATTAAATAGATTCACTTGTAGATGTGATGATATCGTCACTTTCACGCCATCTTTCCTGTGAAATAGATTCACTTGTAGATGTGGTGATATCGTCACTTTTACGTCATCTTTCCTGTGAAATAGATTCACTTGTAGATGTGGTGATATCGTCACTTTCATGGTATCTTTCCTGTGAAATAGATTCACTTGTAGATGCGACGTAGATTCCATCCCACACAGAATTCGCACAGAATTCACACAGGTGCTATATCGGGGGATTATCTGTGTTGCAGTGTAAGGTACTTCTGTGTGACTTTAATGTTGCCTAAACTTGCACTTTCTATATGAATACTGGTACATCACATTCCGAAAGAGCCAAAATTAAGTTACACATACAATCAAGATTTGTGAAATTTATGAAACGCTCATAACAAATTAACAAATCTTTTACCGGGGTATGTTGTATTAAAACTCTGTTAACTATCTATCGAAACATTTAAATTAAATAAGATGTATTAAAAAATAAACGTGATGGTTATTTGCATTTTTGTCTCGCAAGTCTCTGTCCATTACACCAAAACATGACTTGCTAATTCACACTTTTAAATACTTCTCAATATTGCTTATATTTACGTTGTTAATATCTCGAACAGCTTAAAGATTCAACATATTTACCCTGAATCATCGGCCTGTGATATCAGTTTAGCTATTCTGTTGTGTGACAATGGTGTGAAATTATATATTAAATATTCAAATCAATTCTTAAGGCCTTTATGCTGGTGAATATTGCTCCACTTCAAATGGATCATTTTGACATTTACATAAAATGGTTGATGGCATTTAATTTGTTGAACAAAACCCATAACACTTCTTTTAGAAAAAATAGCACCTTAGTTGCCGAATAATTAAGATGAAAAAAAGCATATTTGAATATTTCCAAATCAAAGAACAGGTATGAATTGCGAGTATGTGATAGTCTACACAGTCAGTTTGGTTTGTATATAGAATGTTTGCGTGTAATATATAGTGAAACTTGTGTTAGAAATCACTTGTTTATAAGAACCAACTGTCTATAAGGACCACCTGTTTATAAGAACCACCTGTTTATAAGAACCAACTGTCTATAAGGACCACCTGTTTATAAGGACCAGCTGCCTATCAAGGTGACATGTTAATATAAACCACCTCTTTATGAGAACCACATGTAAATGAGTGTCACCTGTTTATAAGACCTAAGTCTGTTAAAACCACCTGTCTATAAAGATCACCTGTCAAAGACAGTTCCTTTCTTCCTTGGTGCCTGTCATGTCTGTGTGGGTTGGCAGTTCCCAGCCACATTTAGCTGTAGATGTGTTTTGATAACAAATATCAATGATATCCCACAACATTTAAAATAATGTAGTTAGCCAGAATTTTTAAATCAAAATACTTGTATAACAAATCTCAGAAAGTCGTTCACTGTTGTTTTAATTGTGTATGTGTCAGGGGTTTTCCAAACCTCCTTTTGGTCCAAATAATCGATCCATTCTCTCTTTAATATAATGAATCTGATACTGCAAATGATTGAAGCTCCAGCAATCAACAAGTTAAAAAGATCAACACAACAGAGTGTTACATTGTCATTGTTTTGCAGGTTAGATGCCAATATTTTCCCTTTAATATTCATTCCCAATTTTATTGATCCCCGACCCTGATAAAATTGATAGGGAAACCTGTAAAGGTCTGCTTCATTATAAGCCCATGCTGTAATCTTTTGACTCTAATTTAAACTTGCATCTATCGTCAGGTAGCCAATAATAGGCTTGCCGTATTGGTAATTATATCCATTTGAGAAAAAATAGTAAATGCTGTCTTTTTCATGTTTTCCAGAAAATGGAATCACAAGTCCAGGAGGAAGAGAGTCACATACTTCGAGATGAAGGGAACTTCATTGAGGATGTTTCCAAATTCTACAACCAGGAGGCGCTGAGTGATGTGAAGTTAAAGGTGGGCGAGGAAGTATACCACGCCCACAAGTTCGTCCTCGCCAAGTCCAGTGATGTGTTCAGGACCATGCTGTATGAGAGCCGATGGTCACAAGAGAATTCCAGTGAATTTGAGCTCAGCGAGAGCATAGAGTGTCAGATTGTTTTTGACAAATTTTTACGTTTCCTTTACACAGCGGAGATCTCAATACGGGTAGAAACAGCAGTTGGAATTCTGTGTTTAGCAGACAAATACAATGTAATCTCACTGAAGAGCTTGTGTACAATGTACATGGTTGAGAACAGTAAATCGCCCCGTGTTCGTAACGCCCTGAGTTGGTACGCCTGGGCCAAAGCTCTGGGACTCGACGACCTCATTAACCAATGTGCCAAAACCATTGCCTGGAATGCAGACAGTTTATTGAAGCTCGAAGAATGGTCAAGCATGGACTTCGATTTTGTCAACGACATGCTACATAACTCAGAGCTGGTCGTTCTCAGTGAACATGTGTTGTACCTGGCCCTAGTCGCCTGGCTCACAGACGAACAACGGGAAGATTCTTTAAAAGTAAATGCAGAGAAATTGCTTCCGTTGATCCGTTTCCCACAGATGCTTGTAAAACAGCTGTATAAGATAGAACATTCAGACATCATGGAACGGGAAGATTGTAAGGACATTTTACATGAACTGGTTGGGAATGCCTACAGATACAGATCTTTGTGCCCTTCTCAGACGGAGCTGGAACTTTCATTTACAGATCCTTTCTACATGCCCAGAAATTACATAGATCTAACGGTTGACTCTGTGAGGATGCAGAATACGCTTAGGTTCGGCATACAGGTAGATGTTCGCACATACGCGGGGCCTGTCCCCTGCAGTCTTCGGGAGGGTGAATGGAAAATAACGTACCGTAAGAACGGAGACTGTTGGACTCTACAGATCTTTTGTCATGAATCTGCGACTGTGAACGGCGAGGCTCGTGTCCAAGCTGCAGTCATTATATACAATGATGAGGAGAAGGTTATACAGGTCGAACAAGTGCCCACCTATGTATGTTCCCGTGGTAACCATTTAGGCTTGAATATAAACGTGGATAACCTTGCTGATTCGAAGCTCATGGCCCTACTTTTGAAACCTGTGCCAAAATAGAGGGAGTTCAGCATTCAGTTTTATCCACTTCCTGGGTTACAATCAAAACATACACAAAACGTAACTATACACACACATTCTTAGCCTTTCCCACACACTTGTTATATGTAAACTAGGTTTGATGTGGCGTAACACATTTCACAGTCTCTCCCATACATTCTGTATAGCTTATCACGTCTATGGTTCATGCTTGATTTGTCTACGATTTTCGCAGTGTAATTTAACATCACATGACATAACAATACACAGTGACCCGTCACATCTTATGTCATATTTTTCACAAAATTAGAGAAGTCAAATTATGTATTTATTCAGAGAAAGAGAGTTTTTCTTTAATATGTTGGTTATGGGATAAACCAGACATCCAGATTGTGGGAAGTGATGATAACTTATTATCCAGTCTCCACACTTGTTTCTCATATTGTATGCCTTACAAATCATTTATTTTTCACAAGCCATTTTTGTGTGAATTCATGGTGTGACTCATCCGTGATTTAAAATCTTCTCTGACAATTAAATCCTAGAGAATTACTATAAATATTGAAACATCCCCTCAATCACAAATGCTCAAGTATTTATGAATATGACCTGTGAAAATACAAATGTAGTTCTCAAAACAAAGCATATGTGAAAATTTAGGGATTTGCAGAACCTAGTACGGTAATTTTATGCAAGGTTGTTAGGCGTTGGTTTTCACACACACACACACACACACACACACAAACACAAATAGAAAATTACTTGAATAAGAATTATTTTGATGTATATCTTTTCAATGAAATTCAAAATTATACAAAATGTCAAATCAACCTGCCTTAAAGATTCTATAGATTGACTCTGAGTCCTCGGTCTGTAATTTTAGTTTAGGTGTTGTGTTGTGTGACATTGATGTGAAATATTATATATTTAATATTCAAATCAATTCCAAAGGCTTTTATGCATGTGAATATTTCTCCACTTCAATTGGATTGATCCAGCATTTACATAAAATGATCGATGGCATTTGAATTGATAATTTATTTTGTCGAAAAAAATTCTTGCATAATACTTCACTCATAATAAAAAAACAGCAACCTAACTCTCAAAATAATTATGATAGAAAAATGTACACAAATATTAATTGTGTAGTATGTGACAGTGCACACTGTCAGTTTGGTTTTATCTGTAAATATAGAATGTTAAATTACAGAAAATATAAAAATAATGCCTCTCCCTAAATTCAATATCTGTCACAGAATTTCTCAAACCCAATAAAGTGTTGTGTATTAAAAATGTAGTTATAATGATGTCGCAGTGATCATGTTTACCCTATCAACATTGTGTCGTTAGATGTTAAAAAAATAGATGAAACAAATAAATTTTGAAATTTCCATTCCTAAATATTGTTATGATAGATAATGATAAAACTTAAGAGAAACGTGGCAGCTAGATTTCTGTTATAAACAAACATTCCAACATATACATTCCAAACTTATTGATGTAACCGAGGTAACACAACGTCTCTGTAGATACCATATTATGTAGATACCATATTATGTAGATACCATATTATGAGATCTTCTTTATTGGTTTTTTTTGTGAACTGAGACATACATTTACCAGAAAATTTACAATCTTTCAAATTTGTCCTGACGACAAAATCTAAAAATGTGTACAAGTACAATGAGTCCTTTTAGATAAAGCGTTAGTGTAAAATACCAAGGTTAAGCTGGTCTGTCTAGTGTAAAATATCAAGGTTAAGCTGGTCTGTCTAGTGTAAAATACCAAGGTTAATTAGTTGGTCTGTCTAGTGTAAAATACCAAGGTTAAGCTGGTCTGTCTAGTGTAAAATACCAAGGTTAAGCTGGTCTGTCTAGTGTAAAATACCAAGGTTAAGCTGGTCTGTCTAGTGTAAAATACCAAGGTTAAGCTGGTCTGTCTAGTGTAAAATACCAAGGTTAAGCTGGTCTGTCTAGTGTAAAATACCAAGGTTAAGCTGGTCTGTCTAGTGTAAAATACCAAGGTTAAGCTGGTCTGTCTAGTGTAAAATACCAAGGTTAAGCTGGTCTGTCTAGTGTAAAATACCAAGGTTAAGCTGGTCTGTCTAGTGTAAAATACCAAGGTTAAGCTGGTCTGTCTAGTGTAAAATACCAAGGTTAAGCTGGTCTGTCTAGTGTAAAATACCAAGGTTAAGCTGGTCTGTCTAGTGTAAAATACCAAGGTTAAGCTGGTCTGTCTAGTGTAAAATACCAAGGTTAAGCTGGTCTGTCTAGTGTAAAATACCAAGGTTAAGCTGGTCTGTCTAGTGTAAAATACCAAGGTTAAGCTGGTCTGTCTAGTGTAAAATACCAAGGTTAAGCTGGTCTGTCTAGTGTAAAATACCAAGGTTAAGCTGGTCTGTCTAGTGTAAAATACCAAGGTTAAGCTGGTCTGTCTAGTGTAAAATACCAAGGTTAAGCTGGTCTGTCTAGTGTAAAATACCAAGGTTAAGCTGGTCTGTCTAGTGTAAAATACCAAGGTTAAGCTGGTCTGTCTAGTGTAAAATACCAAGGTTAAGCTGGTCTGTCTAGTGTAAAATACCAAGGTTAAGCTGGTCTGTCTAGTGTAAAATACCAAGGTTAAGCTGGTCTGTCTAGTGTAAAATACCAAGGTTAAGCTGGTCTGTCTAGTGTAAAATACCAAGGTTAAGCTGGTCTGTCTAGTGTAAAATACCAAGGTTAAGCTGGTCTGTCTAGTGTAAAATACCAAGGTTAAGCTGGTCTGTCTAGTGTAAAATACCAAGGTTAAGCTGGTCTGTCTAGTGTAAAATACCAAGGTTAAGCTGGTCTGTCTAGTGTAAAATACCAAGGTTAAGCTGGTCTGTCTAGTGTAAAATACCAAGGTTAAGCTGGTCTGTCTAGTGTAAAATACCAAGGTTAAGCTGGTCTGTCTAGTGTAAAATACCAAGGTTAAGCTGGTCTGTCTAGTGTAAAATACCAAGGTTAAGCTGGTCTGTCTAGTGTAAAATACCAAGGTTAAGCTGGTCTGTCTAGTGTAAAATACCAAGGTTAAGCTGGTCTGTCTAGTGTAAAATACCAAGGTTAAGCTGGTCTGTCTAGTGTAAAATACCAAGGTTAAGCTGGTCTGTCTAGTGTAAAATACCAAGGTTAAGCTGGTCTGTCTAGTGTAAAATACCAAGGTTAAGCTGGTCTGTCTAGTGTAAAATACCAAGGTTAAGCTGGTCTGTCTAGTGTAAAATACCAAGGTTAAGCTGGTCTGTCTAGTGTAAAATACCAAGGTTAAGCTGGTCTGTCTAGTGTAAAATACCAAGGTTAAGCTGGTCTGTCTAGTGTAAAATACCAAGGTTAAGCTGGTCTGTCTAGTGTAAAATACCAAGGTTAAGCTGGTCTGTCTAGTGTAAAATACCAAGGTTAAGCTGGTCTGTCTAGTGTAAAATACCAAGGTTAAGCTGGTCTGTCTAGTGTAAAATACCAAGGTTAAGCTGGTCTGTCTAGTGTAAAATACCAAGGTTAAGCTGGTCTGTCTAGTGTAAAATACCAAGGTTAAGCTGGTCTGTCTAGTGTAAAATACCAAGGTTAAGCTGGTCTGTCTAGTGTAAAATACCAAGGTTAAGCTGGTCTGTCTAGTGTAAAATACCAAGGTTAAGCTGGTCTGTCTAGTGTAAAATACCAAGGTTAAGCTGGTCTGTCTAGTGTAAAATACCAAGGTTAAGCTGGTCTGTCTAGTGTAAAATACCAAGGTTAAGCTGGTCTGTCTAGTGTAAAATACCAAGGTTAAGCTGGTCTGTCTAGTGTAAAATACCAAGGTTAAGCTGGTCTGTCTAGTGTAAAATACCAAGGTTAAGCTGGTCTGTCTAGTGTAAAATACCAAGGTTAAGCTGGTCTGTCTAGTGTAAAATACCAAGGTTAAGCTGGTCTGTCTAGTGTAAAATACCAAGGTTAAGCTGGTCTGTCTAGTGTAAAATACCAAGGTTAAGCTGGTCTGTCTAGTGTAAAATACCAAGGTTAAGCTGGTCTGTCTAGTGTAAAATACCAAGGTTAAGCTGGTCTGTCTAGTGTAAAATACCAAGGTTAAGCTGGTCTGTCTAGTGTAAAATACCAAGGTTAAGCTGGTCTGTCTAGTGTAAAATACCAAGGTTAAGCTGGTCTGTCTAGTGTAAAATACCAAGGTTAAGCTGGTCTGTCTAGTGTAAAATACCAAGGTTAAGCTGGTCTGTCTAGTGTAAAATACCAAGGTTAAGCTGGTCTGTCTAGTGTAAAATACCAAGGTTAAGCTGGTCTGTCTAGTGTAAAATACCAAGGTTAAGCTGGTCTGTCTAGTGTAAAATACCAAGGTTAAGCTGGTCTGTCTAGTGTAAAATACCAAGGTTAAGCTGGTCTGTCTAGTGTAAAATACCAAGGTTAAGCTGGTCTGTCTAGTGTAAAATACCAAGGTTAAGCTGGTCTGTCTAGTGTAAAATACCAAGGTTAAGCTGGTCTGTCTAGTGTAAAATACCAAGGTTAAGCTGGTCTGTCTAGTGTAAAATACCAAGGTTAAGCTGGTCTGTCTAGTGTAAAATACCAAGGTTAAGCTGGTCTGTCTAGTGTAAAATACCAAGGTTAAGCTGGTCTGTCTAGTGTAAAATACCAAGGTTAAGCTGGTCTGTCTTGTGTAAATTACCAAGGTTAAGCTGGTCTGTCTAGTGTAAAATACCAAAGTTAAGCTGGTCTGTCTTGTGTAAAATACCAAGCTTAAGCTGGTCTGTCTAGTGTAAAATACCAAGGTTAAGCTGGTCTGTCTTGTGTAAAATACCAAGGTTAGGCTGGTCTGTCTTGTGTAAAATACCAAGGTTAAGCTCGTCTGTCTAGTGTAAAATACCAAGGTTAATTAGCTGGTCTGTCCTGTGAATTCGTTCAGTTTTATCAAAAACCAAGATTTGATAGACAGACTTGACAGGTATGTAGAGGATGTTCTGTCAGTGATGACATTCAACTGACACAATACTTGATCACCTGGAAAACCAGGTATTCAGGTTTTACAGCCGAGGCAGATTTTGATGTTCACATGTATAAGAGAGATAACATTTATGCATTATACAATTTTTGTCTGTTGTTTCTGAAAAGTACATTTTGTGTGTAGATAAATAGAGTATTCCGTTTACATAACATCTTTATCTTTATATAACATATTTATCTTTACATAACATCTTTATCTTTACATAACGTCTTTATCTATACACACGTGTCTTATATCACCCACCCGGAGCATTATTCCTTTGGAGTGGACAGGTTTTATATTATGCAGGTTTAATTTACATAGAAATGGGACCTGTAGGGAGGTTCTGGTTTATACAGGTTTGTAAGTTATACAGGTAAACTTTACATAGAAATATATACAATGGGATCTAGTGACTCTGGTTTATACAGGTGTCCAGATTATACCGGGCTACATTTAGATGTATCTAGTGGGACCTAATTGAAGATCTGGTTTATACAGGTGTCCAGATTATACAGAGCTACATGTAGAGGTATATAGTTGGACCTAATTGAAGATCTGGTTAATACAAGTGTCCAGATTATACAGGGCTACATGTAGAGGTATATAGTTGGACCTAATTGAAGATCTGGTTTATACAGGTGTCCAGATTATACAGGGCTACATGTAGAGGTTTACAATGGGACCTAATTGAAGATCTGGTTTATACAGGTGTCCAGATTATACAGAGCTACATGTAGAGGTATATAGTTGGACCTAATTGAAGATCTGGTTAATACAGGTGTCCAGATTATACAGGGCTACATGTAGAGGTTTACAATGGGACCTAATTGAAGATTTAGTTTATACAGGTGTCCAGATTATACAGGGCTACATCTAGAGGTTTACAATGGGACCTAATTGAAGATCTAGTTTATACAGGTGTCCAGATTATACAGGGTTTCATGTAGAGGTATATAGTGGGACCTAATTGACGATCTGATCCATATAGATTCTTGTTTTTTATACAGATTCAATTTACACACAAATATATACAGTGAGATGTGTCTGAAGGTGGATCTGGTGAGGACACGTTCGTGGTTGTATAGACACAGATGTAGATGAAGGTTTGGACCAGGTACAGTGTAGGCTTTATTGATAAATATTTATCATGGAACTTTCTGCATTAGGAATTACAAAAGGTTTGAAAAATGATTTTCTACACCCAAGTATTTTTCCTCTTTCATACTTTAAGTATTAATAAAACAGATTATATTGCACTCAGCTGTGTATTCACATATATTCATGTTTGTACAAGTATTCAAGCCCAACCATCAATAAGATGGTGCTGTTCACCTGCTTTCTGGGGATTTTACATATAGAATATAAAGGTAAACAGACTAAGACTTTAACAAAAACGTACATACCATATTTGTTCTGTTAAATACCCGGGCCTCCTTGATAAATACCCAAATTGCCTTTCTTTTTCACTCTTTAGATAATATCATCATTGTACTGTATTTCTTACCTTCATAAAATGAACATTGTACATTATTAGTACAAAATAGTCTTTATTTTATAATTCCTACCCAATTCATAAATGGACACTTACAGCCTTGAACATTTGAAAAAAATGTTAAACCATCAGGAAAGGTATAAACTTAATAGAATATCTACGGTAATATTTACCTGCCTAAATTCACTACCAATAGTATTGTCTGAAATTGAATGCAACTTGACAAGGATGTAAGAGTTATCTCCCCTGATCTGTTTTTATTGTGTTATACAACCCATGCAACCAAATTCAGTTTTCACTCAGTTTCTTAGAAAACT